ATCCATCCATCCATCCATTTTCTTTACCCGCTTATTCCATTTTGGGTCACGGGGGTCGCTGGTGCCCATGTCCAGCAATCACTGTGCGAGGGGCGGGGGACACCCTGGACGAGTCACAAGTCCATCACAGGGACACATAGAGACAAACGAGACAAACAACCATTCACTCTGTCACTCGCACCTAGGGACAATTTAGAGTTACCAATCAGCCTAACATGCATGTTTTTGGTCTGTGGGAGGAAACCGGAGCACCCGGAGAAAACCCACGCATGCACGGAGAGAACATGCAAACTCCACCCAGAAAGGCCCCTGGACCGGGGTTTGACCTTTAAGAAACAGTTTGGGGTATTTTAGCATTTAGCAAAAATGTACCTAATTTTTTAGTTTTTTAACACCAACTTTACTAAATTTACTACACACACAAATCTGTTGGAGTCAGACTCCCCAACATCACAGACATCTACACCTCCTGGTGCTTCAAGGGGGGCACCTGCATCATGAAGGACCACACTCACCCAGCACACACACTTTTTGCCCCACTCCCCTCAAGAAGGAGGTTGAGGAGCATTAAGTGTAGAACCACTAGACTGAGGAACAGCTTCTACCCTGAGGCTGTTAGACTCATGAATCTCTAACCAGAATAATCACTGTGAAAAATCACATGTTGCTGCTTATCTGTTTCATGTTGCTGCTGATCTGTTTCAATGTTGCTGCTGATCTGTTTCATGTTGCTGCTGATCTGTTTCATGTTCATGTGTTCATGCGTGCTGATCTGTTCACACAGACTCATGTTCGTGCTGCTGTTTCGACGTGATGTTTTTATGTTATGAGTACTTAGTGTATATTTAGCTGGTTTTTCTTAGTTCATATCTTAGATGTTATTACTGTTTTTCTTTTAAATGTTATTGTTGGATGTAACTGGGACCCTGTGGACATAATGTTGTTCCACCACACGTACCACATGGGGTGCGAATGACAAATAAAGTACCTTGAACACACACACACAAAATAATTTTAGCTGTTAGCTGGGGTTTTGCAAATGTACATTTTTAGCTACTGCGTGTTAGTTTGAGCTTTTAGCTATAGTTTTGTTAAGTTTAAAATTTTAACTACAGCATAGTCTATTTCAGGTTTTACTTACAAAGTGTATAAATATAATTTTTATCTTAAGCTTTTTCATTTATTTAGGTTTTTAGATCTGTTTTTTTTTCATCTTAATTTTTTACGAGTGTTGATAAATTTAGATTTTAGTCATAGATTTTCTGCTCTAAACTTAATTTTTTTCCATGAAAAGGTGGAGATTCCCTCCAGTGGCGTGTGATTCAGACAGAAAGTGTCTGAATGGAGGCGTTTGTATTGGAGGTGAATCTGGAGGCAACTGCACCTGTAGGCCTGGATACACAGGTGCCAGGTGAGAGCAACGAAGGGTTAACGTCTTTCTTTACAAACGTGCATTTAAGTCAATCCAGGACAGGAAGACACATGAGCTGTGCTCTGTCATTCAGTGTTTTGCTAAAACCCTGTGATGTGTTTCAGGTGTGAGACAGAAATAGACGAGTGCGAATCCAGTCCCTGTCAAAATGGTGCGACCTGTCTGGACCGACTTAACCACTTTCAGTGTGTGTGTGTCCTAGGCTTTAGTGGCAAGCTGTGTGAGAGCAAGGTAAGTGACATGTACAGTACACACGGCACAAGCTGTCACTTTCATAGCACATGTGAAGCCTTTTGCTCAAAGACTTTGAGAATCCCTGCTTTGGACTGGAGATCCATCTTACTGTCAGTAAATGATCCAGACTCAACACGGAACAGAGGGTTTGGTCTGAAGACAGACACAGCAAATCAACACGGACATGCATTCACTAAAGAACAATCTAAGACAAAAGATTTCCGTAAAATATAAATAAATAAATTTATATATATATATATATATATATATATACAAAGTATATATATTCAAGGATTCAAGGATATTTTTTATTGTCATAACAGCTCACATTTGCATGTTTGTGGTATGAAATTCAGACTCAGGTCCCAGATTAAGAAGCCTAACAATTAACAAATTCAAATTTGTTAATTGAAATCAGTTCAATTCAGTTTATTTCTACAACACCAAATCACAACAAAGTTGTCTCAGGGACTTTACAGGAACATTCACATAAAAGACAATTAGTAAAGTTCTCTATCTAAGGAATCCAGCAGACAAGATTAATCTTGGCGTCGTTGCAGTCTCTCATCCTGAGCAAGCACAGTGGAGACAGTGGGAAGAAAAACTCCCTTTTTAAAGGAAGAAACCTCCAGCAGAACCAGACCGGCTGGTTGAGAGGACAGGAAGGAGAGACAGACGAACACAGAATGGCAGGTCCAGATATAGGTCCAGGTCCAGATATAGGTCCAGGTCCAGGTCCAGATATAGGTCCAGGTCCAGATATAGGTCCAGGTGTATTTAAAAGACAAAAACACATGTTAAGGATAGAAAAAATAATTACAATTACAAAACAGGTTGAGCAGAGTAAGTAAAGACAGTAGCAGAGTGAAAAGTGTGGTCAGTTTGTCCTCCAGCAGTCTGAGCCTATAGCAGCATAACTAAGGGACAGCTCAGGAAACCCAAGCCGACCCTAACTATAGGATTTATCAAAAAGGAAAGTCTTAAGCCCAGTTTTAAAACTGGATAATGTGTCAGACTCATGGACAGAGGTTGGAAGTTGGTTCCACAAGAGAGGAGCCTGATAACTGAAAGATCTGCCTCCCATTCTGTTTCTGTAAATTCTAGAAACCACAAGTAAACCTGCAGCTTGAGGGCGAAGTGCTCTGTTAGGAAAATATGGAACAATAAGATCTGTAATATAAGATTGAGCCAGGTTGTTGAGAGCTTTGTAGGTTAGAAGTAAGATTTTGAATTCTATTCTGGATTTGACAGGGAGCCAATGGAGAGAAGCTAAAACTGGAGAGATATGATATCTCCCAGTAACTCCAGTTAAGACTCTGGCAGCAGCATTTTGGATCAACTGAAGACGTTTTAAAGAAGTATTTGGACACCCAGATAATAAACCATTGCAATAGTCCAGTCTAGACGTGACAAATGCATGGACCAGTTTTTCTGCATCATCTTTAGATCAGATGTTTCTAATTTTAGTGATATTACTCAGGTGGAAGAAGGAGGTTCTATTAATGTTTTTAATGTGGGGGATAAAAGACATGTCCTGATCAAAAATAACACCAAGATTTTTAACATTAGAGCTGGAGATATCCTGATGCATGCTCAATAATCCAGGTAGAAAAATCTAAAAAAGTTCAATCTGGTCCTCTGGACATTCAAAAAACAAAACAAAGCAAAACAACAAAAAAATATAGAAACGTTTCGTCTCTCATCCGAGAGACTTCCTCAGTCTGAGGTGCTGTTTTCAGCTCAGTCTCTTAAATAGCACCTTCTCAGAGTGGATCAACCAGTTTGCTGCTGACAACCAAAACCAGCTGATCACATGCTCAAGAAGGACCATCAGCCTAACAATGGATCATTAGCACACTGATGGCTGTTTACTATTCACAGAGGGCTGAGTGATACTAGCAATCACAGCATTGTAAGAGGGGGACAGTTGAACCCGGAGGCCTCCACCCCTGTTTAATGATGGACGATTTCTTTTCACAAAGATGGCCTCCTTTACTCCTCTCTCAAACCATCGTTCCTCTCTATCCAGGATGTGAACATCTTCATCCCTGAAAGAGTGACCGCTGGCCTGGAGATGAGTGTAGACCGCAGAGTCCTGGCCTGATGATGTTGATCTTCTGTGCTGGTCCATCCTTTTGGTCAGTGGCTGTTTAGTTTCCCCGATGTAAGACTGATCACCCTCCTGACACTGAACAGCATACACAACATTACTCTGTTTGTGCCGGGGGACTGGATCTTTGGGATGAACCAGTCTTTAACACTAGAAGTCCCAGAGAAGGGTCATTTAACATTTCTACCTTTGGAACCCAGAGACGGGTCGAGTGACCTGAAGGATTTTAGCTAACATCCTATAATGAGCTGTTAACAGGCGCTTTTGTTTTGTAAATAAGGCCATTACTGGTGCACCACAGGAGGGGGCACGCTTAACTCCCAACTAACTGTTTTCCATTGAGTTTAGCCATTTAGTTTCTAGTTAGTTATATTCAGTTTATTGTATTTTATAATATGAAGATTTTTTATATATATATTGGTGGCACGTTGTTGCACATTTTGAACAAATTGAAGTCGATTTACCGTTTATTTTTCAATTGGTTTGGCTCATTTCTTGAAACCGAGATGACATTCTCAAAACACCATGTGAAACACAACTCAAGAGACTTTGCATTTTGAGGTTACTGACAATTTGTATGAAACACATATTTTGTTTTGATATATATAGTATTTAGCTTAGTTTTGAGCAAAAAAGCACAGACCATAAGCAATTGTGTGTAAGTCAAGAGGACTAAAACTTCAGCATGAGAAATATAAAAAACAACAACCGTTATTTGTTTCCATGCTTTTTATTTTTGTCATAAAAAGACAAGGGATAAAACAATTCTACACATATTTACACTATGCTCTAGTGGGGGGGCTGCGTGTGTGTGAGTGGCATGTCCTCCTTGTGTGACTGGCATTTCAGCACTCACTCAGCAGTCCATCTGCACTGTCGAAACATACCTGGCACTGCCAGGGTATGTCCCTGGTACATTTGCCACATGTGTATTTGTAGCAGTTGACGCATCTCACAGTTGCACAATTGTTCGTGCATCGAAGTTTGATCTGACACTTTGCCCTCTTGCCAGGGCTGGGTGTGGAAGGTTGTTGCTGAAGTAGTTTCTCCTTGCGTGCCTTCTTCTCACAATTAATTTGGTTATTTTTTTCTAAACTGTCATTTTGAACCCACTTCTCTTTTTTCTGAAAGAAAAACATTACTAAAATCTTTTAGAAAAACTTTTGCATATATCTTGAAACAGATTGTATGTTTTGCAAACTTTTGTTTTGTTTTGTTCATTTGGCAAAATGACCTGGATAATGCATCTCTCCCAAAACACTTCATGTATGCTTCAAAACAAAATATGTGTTTCATACAAATTGTCAGTAACCTCAAAATGCAAAGTCTCTTGAGTTGTGTTTCACATGGTGTTTTGAGAATGTCATCTCGGTTTCAAGAAATGAGCCAAACCAATTGAAAAATAAACAGTAAATCGACTTCAATTTGTTCAAAATGTGCACCAACGTGCCACCAAGAGATATAAGTTCAAAATATAACCAGTTGATTTCGCATCTGTTTGGAGTATTAGACGGACGTTTGTGTGAGTTCAGCTTATCTCTCCCCTACTGATTCCTAAGGCAATGGCCACATTTACAAATGAAAGGATGCTAATTGGAGCCATCAGAGTTGTCCGGTTTGGAGCACTACTTTGACTAAGGCTGCGCTTTTTTGCGCAAGTGAACCTGGCTTCTAAATCCCCCGCTCCCTGGATTGGACATTGGAATGCAGTCTGGTGAGGTGGGTGTGTCTGAGTTACTTGTGTGCATATTTAAAACAAATGGCAGTTAATGGCCCGCAAATTGTTGAGGAGAAGGAGGGGGTTTGTCCTCAGGATCTTGAAAATCTAGTCACGCTAGTGCTAAGGGTCTTTTGACCCTTTTTCAGGACTTCTGGGGGGAGGTCGAAATTCCTGGGACTTCTAGTGTTAATGTATTTTGGGGTTTAAAAGCCACTGGGACGTTATGTTTAGAAAATAAACGTCTCAGTTTCTCTGATACCCCCTCAACATATGGAATGACCACTGGTCTGGGTCTGGGTTCCTCCTTTTCACCTGATGGCTGACTGGAGTCCTGTTTGGGTTTCTTCTCTGCTTTCAGGAAGGCCCAGTTAGGATATCCACATTGCTCTAGAGCCTGTTTTGTGTGGGATTTCTCCTTCTGCCTGGCTCCTGAGCTAGTGGGGACGCTGTCTGCTCTGTGATACAGAGTCCTGATGACTCCTAACTTGTGCTCCAAAGGGTGATGGGAGTCAAACTGCAAATACTGGTCTGTGTGTGTGGGTTTGCGTTACACCTTGGTTTGCAAATGTCCTCTATCAGAGACTGAGACCTCACAGTCCAAGAAAGCCAACTTGACATTTTTTTCATCTTCTCGTGTGAACTTGATGTATTTATCCACAGAGTTGATGTGGTCAGTAAAATGTTGGACTTCCTGAGATTTAATTTTAACCCAGGTGTCGTCAACATACCTGAACCAATGACTTGGTGGTGTCCCTGAAAAGGACGTCAAGGCTCTCTTTTCTACCTCCTCCATGTACAGGTTGGCAACAATAGGAGAAACTGGAGACCCCATAGCACACCCATGTTTCTGCCTATAATATTGCTCCCCATATGTGAAGTAGGTTGACTGCAGGCACAGTTTCAAGAGTTGACACAGTTGTTCTGTGGAAAGCGTGGTCCTGCTGCTCAGAGTGGTGTCTGATTTTAATCTTAAACTGACCACCTCTACTGCATCATCAACAGGAATGCACGTAAAGAGTGAGGTGACATCAAAAGAGACCATTGTTTCATCAGTCTCCATGATGACATCCCTCACCTTATCCACAAAGTCCATGGTGTTCTGTATGTGGTGTTCTGAGCTGCCAACTAAAGGGATGAGTACAGACGCCAGATATTTGGAAACATTGTAAGTGACAGAGTTAATCATACTAACAATTGGTCTTAAAGGTACACCTTGTTTGTGGATTTTAGGTAAACCATACAGACTAGGTGTGGCCTCCCCTGGGTACAGTCTGTGGTACAGAAATCGGTCAATAGCCTTGTCCTGCTCCAAAATTTTCAGGCAATCTATTAACTTTTTCTTGTAACCACTTCCTGGATCTCTTTTCAGAGGTTCATAAGTGGTTAAGTCACTAAGGAGTGTCATAACTTTCTCATGATAGTCTTTCTGGTTCAAAATCACTGTGCACCTTCCTTTGTCTGCTGGGAGAATGATGATGTTTTTGTCCTTGCTAAGAGTGGTGAGTGCATCCCTCTCCTCTCTACTGATGTTGGAAGGTGGTGGTTTGGCATTGCTGAGGCAGGATGAAACTTTGACTCTGAGCTGTTCTGCTTCAGCCTCTTTCATTTTGTTGTTTGCACACATCCAATTATTTCTTTATAAATGTTTTATTAAAATCCATCCAGCGCTTCATGAGATATTTAAGTGATAATAAAGACAAATTAACGTGCACACAAACAACACTATTACTGCCTTTTTGTCTTTAATGATGGGCGATAATAATCTGATTGCCTTGTTTCTCAAGTTTATTTCTCCAAACTGAGGGAACATTAAACTGATTTTTTTAAATATTTCATTTAAATTTCGTGCTGCAAACATACAAATGTGAGCTGGTGTGACAATAAAAAAATCCTTGAATCCTTAATAAAAATTAATTTTTTTATGCTAAGAACAAATGCTATTCTTTACAAACAACAAGGAAATTCAAAAAATATTGATAAAGCCACCTCCAATAACATTATCAAGTGGGTGTCATTTTATAATTGAGATGAAAAAGTGTTTAACCTGCAACACTTCATGCTGTTCTTTCAGAAAGATGGACGTGCGGAGCGGGTTCCCTGGCTGGCAGTGACCATCCCCCTCACCACCTTATGTGTGTTATTAGCCATCCTGACCATGTTTTTCCTCGCCATGACAGCACGCAAGAAGCGTCAGTCGGAGGGCACGTACAGCCCCAGCTCTCAGGAGGTTGCTGGTGCCAGGTTGGAAATGGGCAGTGTCCTCAAAGTGCCTCCAGAGGAGAGGCTGATCTGAGACCAGAAAGCTTTGGCTCACATTCTTACATCCAAAGGATGCATACTAAGGGCAGAGAGAACATTGTTCATGTCATACTGCTTTGAATGGAGAAAAGATGGAGGACAGGTCAATGATAGGTCCTCCATCTGGAACAACTACTGATGTTGGACCTGTATGTTGGACAGGTAAAGACTGGAAACCAAATGACAGATTGTCCAAAAGAGGCGACAGAATGTCAGAACTGACCACAAGAAGGTTCTGAAACTGGATCAAAAGAACAAACTGAGGCTTGGGAACACCTGCTTGGCATTTTTGTGTGGACAGTGGAAACACAACCTTTTTGAAACTGTGGCGTCGTACACCCACGTTCAACCTAACCTGAGCCAAGTATAACAAACGCATGGACAGTAAGAACATTGTCAGAAGGACAGGCTTTTGTTTGTCCTGCAGATGCACCTCCAGTAGAACCTTCATGCGCGGCATTACTTCAATGAACCGGAAGAATGGTGAGCAATAAATAGAGCAGAGCAAAAGCTCTCATTTTTACACCAGACAATCTGAGGCCACTCATGGTCTTGAACTGCAAACATTACAAAAACAATGTTGTAGGAAAATAATACAATAGATATGAAATATATATTTAAAAACATGGAGAATTTGAATTTTTTTAAAGACTGACACTGAGCTGATGACCACTTTCAAGGTTGTATTAAAAGTTATAGTGTTGAAATCCATTTTGCATCACGCTGTCCCTACGGTTTAAACACTTCTTAAAATTCTGGAGACAAAGTGTGGAGGAGAGGATGACAGTCAGGCATCGTTTAGGAGCAACATGTCTCTCTCTCTCTTTTCAAAATCAAGCTGTCACGAAGCAACAGTTTGCACCAAGCTACAGGAGTTAGCATGTTAGCAGGTGAACACACAACGGACTGCAGGCTCGCCAAGGAGGCGAACGTTAACTAACGTCTGCTTTTCATGCACTTTTACTTTACAAAGAGCAGGATATACAGTAAGAAGTAATACAAGTAACAAATTGTGAAAACAGCAGGTTGTCCTTTTTCATAGCTGATACAATTATTTATTCAATTATTATTTTCAATTTATTTAATTTCAGCCTTGATCTGCATTATAAGTAAGTTTCTTTCGGCTGCTCCCTTCTTCAGGGATCTCCTCAGCGAGCGAACTCACGTGAAGGATTTTGGAATTGGTTTCATGACTGATGCCCTTCATGCAACCTGGACTCTAACCTTCAGTAAAAATACCACAATTTTACAGGAATACAGTATAAAACACTCTGAAAACATGGTTTAATTGTTTTTTTCTATGATAAATGCAAATGCTGTTACTAGTGATGCATCCATCCATTATCTCCACACGCTTTTTCCTTTTTGTGTCATGGGGGTCACTGGTGCCCATGTAGCTATCACTGTGTGAGAGGTGGGGACACCCTGGACAGGTCTCCAGCCCATCACAGGGACACAGAGACAAACGAGACAAACAACCATTCACTGTCTCGCATCTAGGGACAATTTAGAGTCACCAATCAGTCGAACATGCATGTTTTTGGTCTGTGGAAAGAAACTTACACATGCACGGAGAGAGCGTTCAAACGCCACGCAGAAAGGTCTTGGGCCGGGATTTGATCCGGCAGCTTTCTCACTGAGAGGCAACAGCTCTACCAACTGAGACACTGTGCCGCTCTAGATAAAGTATTTATTTATGATGTTTTTATTTTCAGACTGATAAAACAGAAGTGAACATGTCTGTAATCACTTTGTTTAAAATCAGTGTCAGCTATTTTCTGCACTTGACAGATTTCAAACCAATTAGTGATCAGCATTTGTATTTATATCATTCTTATTCAGGAAATTTAAGGTCAGGAGGGTAGCTTGGTGGTCAGTGCTGTGGTCTTGTGATTCTGAGGTTGCTGGTCAGTGTCTCATAGCAGCCCGTGCCTCATCAACAAAAACAACATAAGCAGAAGTTTTACTTTGTTGTCAATTTGGTTCTTGCTGTTTTCTTGCCTGTCTTTTTAATTTAATTTATTTATTTGCAGTGTTTACAGTTCAAACCATAGAAAGTTCAGTAAGAAATGCACAGTCTGTGGTTCCTAGTTCTGTTCTGATGTAGTTAAGTAGCAGCGTTACAGCGCCACGTAAAGGCCTGGCATAGTTACTACAGCAGTGTGCATCATATTCTGCATTTGCATGTGGATGAAGACATTTGTAGCAACAATGTTTCATTCACAAGGATGTTTTTAGCAATGACAAAATAAAAAAGATTTTTAGATTTGGAGGGCAAAACTTTTCAATGCGGACAACATGTCGAACTCTAAAGTTCAACGGGAACTATCTGGTTATTTTAGGACAAGTGATCAATCATTTAAGGGATGGAAATAAAACAACATTTGTCTGCAAATTCTAAAGCTGATTCTGGTTTTACGTGATGAAACAAGAAGAAACATTTCTCCATCAATCTTACTTCATGGAGCAGTTTGACCTGTAGAAACCCACGAGGCGTCTGATGGTGGCGTTTTCAGAGCTCTTCTGACAGGCAGGCTCTTTTTCTTAAACCTTCAACTCGTCAACAGATTTGTGTAGCCAAACAACTCTTCCTTCTTGTACAAATCTGCTAGGTGGACTGTTTTTTAATCTGCTGAATCTGACAGTTTGTAAAAACTGCAGCCTGAAGTTTGAAAAGAAACAATCCAGTGTGCTCTAGTTATTAAATTCTGTTTCAGAACTGAAAGTGTGGCGGGTCAGACGCTAACTGCTGTATGATGACATCACTGTGCATTGTGTGACTAATCACACTACACATTTTTGTTACTGTTTATTAGTGTGTTGTTCATATTGTTTGCGTTATGAATTACATATGTACTGTATATGTGCTACAGAAGTTGAAACCACTCTTATTTTTGATATTGTCGAGATGTTTTCAGTATTTAATTGTAAAAATGTGGTTGTGCTTGTCAGGAAAACAATCACAAAAAAGGCTGTTCTAGATTTTGTGAAGAATTTTTAGGTCAGATGCAATAAAGTAAACCAAAAAAATCTAACTGAAGTCGTTTATTTTCAATAATTAAAAGAATCATTTCTTTATTTCACTGTGATGATGGAGGGGAGAAAAGAAAACTATTTGGGATTTATTTTTTTAGTGGATTAAATAGAACAAATACTCAGAATTAGGGGTGGGAATCTTTACACACCTCACAATTCAATTTAAATTCAAAGAGCTGTGATGAGAGTATGAAACAATTATTGATGCATCTCAATTATCTGAGATTATCAGGTTTGATTAAACACCAGGAGGCACCTGTATATCCAAAACATTGAAAGTGAAATACAAATTTAAAATATTAAACAAATTAACACCGATTTACTGGATACACTGTATTTTCAATTCAATTCAGTTTATTTATATAGTGCCAACTCACAACAGAAGTCATCTCAAAGTACTGTACAAAAAACATTCACATATCCTGATTATATATATATATATATATAAAGTCAATTAGTAAAGTTCTCTCTCTAAGGAAGCAGCAGATTGTGATGAATCTTCCCTTCGTCACAGTCTCCCACCCTGAGCGAGCACAAAGGAGACAGTGGGAAGGAAAACTCTCTTTTAACAGGAAGAAACCTCCAGCAGAACCAGGCTCATGACAAGCGGCCATCTGCTTTGAGAGGACAGGAAGGAGACAAACAAACACAGAATGGCAGGTCCAGGTGTACTTTCTAGAGGAAAGACAAAAAACATGTTAAGATAAAAATAATTACAAATACAAACAGGTAGAGCAGAGTAAGTAAAGACAGCAGCCGGGTGAAGAAATGTGGTCAATTTGTCCCCCAGCAGTCTAAGCCTATAGCAGAATAGAGATAGGTCAGGAAACCCAAGCCAACCCTAACTAAAGGATTTATCAAAAAAGAAAGACTTAAGCCTAATCTTAAAAGTAGAGCAAAGTAGACACGGTGTCAGCCTCACGGACCGAAACTGGAATATGGTTCAGAGAGGAGCCTGAAAACTGAAAGATCTGCCTACCATTCTACTTTCAGAAACTCTAGGAATCACAAGTAAACCTGCAGTCTGAGAGCAAAGTGCTCTGTTAGGAAAATATGGAACAGTAAGATCTGTAAGATAAGATGGAACTAGGTTGTTGAGAGCTTTGTGGGTTAGAAGTAAGATTTTGAATTGTATTATATTTTACATGCATAATAAAGAGTGCACAATTCCATGTCCAAAAAGTTGAACAATTCAAGACTGATAACTAGCATCAATGCTAACTTGACATTGAAAATGCCAAAGTAAAGATAATTGGATTAGCACTATATTTATACACAAACCCATGTAAAGTCATTAGTAATGACATTAAGTCATTAATGTCACGTTATGTGTTATGATTGTTATGATAGCTTTTACTAATAGACAGAAATTTGACAGATGAAAAACAGGTGAAAGCCCTTCACCCCTAGAGCAGGGGTGTCAAACCCACTTACAACAGGGGGCCCAATTTAAAACCTTTTTCAAACTAAGGGCCGGTTTCAGGATCTACATTAACTCAAGTTAGATACAACATCTTTTCTTGGTTGCAGGTTCCTGAACAAGACTTTGATTGGTCTCATTTGACATTCTCTCTTGCACTTTTGACATCATAATCAAAGATTACTGAAAAAAATTAAATGATAAAAGTATTTTCCATTTAAAATAACATCTTGGGGGCCAGATAAGACGTCAACGAGGGCCACAGTTGGCCCCCGAGCCTTGAGTTTGACATATATGCCCTACAGTATTGTTAATAGGACAAACTGCAAATACACACTCCTTTAAAAAAATTATTGAACTGTGATCAGACGAGTTTGATGGACACATGGATTTTTACGATTCTAAACAGTTATATGTAGGAAACATGACAAGTTAAAAAGAACCTTCACTTTGAATTAAAAAAATATTTTGAGTTAAAGTTTAACAGAAGTCTGTAGTGTCAGGATTTTCAGACTGAGCTGAGTAGGAATGAACCCATTGGTACAGGTAGTACTCAGAGGCCATGATGTAAAAATAATACTTTAAT